AAATATGTATATATATATATAATTATTATTACTTATAGGGTGAATACGAACTGATGAATGACTCATCTAAAGGTAAGTGATCACCGTCACCCATAGACACCTGCACAGTGCCGTCTTTGACCTATTGGAGGCCCTGGGCATATTAGAATAATGGAGCCCCTATGACTTCCGTTTGGTGATTTAAGTGGAACTAGGGACTTTGTATTTGATCTGAGGGGGCCCCCTATCGATCGCGGGGCCCTGGGCACTTTCCCAAAGTCCCCACAGGGAAAGACGGATCTGCACCAGCAACACTAAGAGTACCTATCAAAAATGCGATTTCGTCCTTTAAGGAGGGAGTAAGCTCGATTTTAAGTACTTGTTACATATATATTGAAGAAAGCGCTTATTTAAAAAATTTAAAATCTCAAAAACCCGACTGCTTAATTATACTTCAAATAAAAACTGAAAAGAAAAAACAAGTCCAGTAGTCTATAATTCTGTTAATAAGGAACAAAGCTACTTTAACAGTCGGGACCCATTAAATATTCAAGAATACATAATATTTTTCAATAATGTAATAAAAAAAAACCTTTTTTTATTTTACACTTTTTAGTTAGGTAGTTAGTATTATAAGACGGTATTACTTCAGTGTTACTACTTGTTACTTCAGTAAGGGAATTAATATCGCGGGAATCATTAAGTACCTTGCGGTGGTCTAAACGATTGATTTATTAAGACATATAGAGACTTTACCAGCGGGGTCAAGGCTACAGATGGGGCTCAATTTTCGCAAAATTGTGTGAAGTTAAATTAAGTCGTTACCTATTTAACTAATGTATGTAAATTTTATAACTAGCACTTATTCAAAAAGTCATCTTTTGTTTATGTTCTCTTTAGTAGTTTTTTCATGTCAACGTCCGGCTCTAAGATTGTGATATACACAAATGCAGTGTCATATCCTAGTCTCATAATTTGATATACCTACATAATTCACAGAACCCCAATAAGTAGATGCCAAAAGTTAACTTCAAATGTTGTTAATCACCCTATATACAATACTAATCAATGACGTTTATGTCGCAGGTTGAAGAAAGCAGAAATTCCCGTCTGTTGTTTTGGACAATGGTGGCAACTGCCTTAGATCGCTAAATTAAATAATTATGCAATCACCAAAGCAAAATTTATAATATTTCATTAAACTAAAGGTGCATAATAAATTTTTCATAACGTTAGGTAGAGCACCATAGCAATCTCATTTATTATCAATTTATATTATAGTTCTCTTTGTAGTTTTCTTTTAAAGCGTTCACCAATAACAGGTCAAAGACTTTGTAATCGACCCTTTTTATTGATAGTGTAAAGCTCGAATGAAGAATACTTCCACCTACCAGCCTAGTAGGTATTGCAAATAGTGCAATCATGGCAATTATTTTCCAAATATTTATTTCGTACAAAAAAAAAACCGAATAACGTATCACTGTTAAGCACAAATGCTATGTAACTTTTACCAAATATAATCAAATAAACCTATTAATTAGTTACCTACTTTATTTTTAAATCTTTTTCATCAATTAAATACTATTATCCTAACTATCTATACTAATTTTATAAAGAGGCAAGATTTGTATGTTTGTAACAAATAATCTGTCAAACTACTGAACCGGTTTTAAATATTAATTTATCTTATATGGTAGCTACATAATTTATTATTACATTTTTCTTTATTTAAATACATTTTGTCCGAGTGACATATAGGCTATATTTAGAACATATAGGCTATATTTTACAATGCCGGGGTGGATCACTAGTAAGTATAATATAATATTATAGATGCGAAAGTGAGTTTGTTTGTTGCGCTTACGTGCCCTAATAGCTAAATCGATTATAATGAATTCCCCTATAGAAGTAGATGGGAACTTGGTTCTTAGCTACAACATCGCAATACTTATAGGCGTAGGGTGATTTACCTATAAAACTCTATATTATTTACTTTGAATTTTGCAAAATTATCGTTTATAATTACAAAACCAATATTATCGTGAGCTGATTAATAAATACAGGGATTCCAATAAGTATGTACCTACTAGCGAAAAATGGGTTATTTGTCATTATATTAAGTAACCCTTTTTTTGTACCATTAAGTAATATCGTTAAAAAAAACAATGTAATTCTGAGTTTATCAATAATCATAAATACCTATTACGATAATTTATTTTTCATCATTTAATAGGAAGGAACTGTATCACACTTTTATTGTAAGTACTTCGTATAGGATCAGATACTGCGAGTAGCCCATTTTTTTTTCGCCTAGGTTTTGTCTACGTTTATAAACACCTAAATTAAATTTCTTCTCTTAGTATTCCCGCAGTGCAAGTACTCCTACATAGTACACCGCGCTATCACTAACTTTGTCATCGTTGTAACTTTTTAAATATTTGTCGAAATGACATAGTGTAAAAGGCAAAGTTTATCATCTTTAAATATCAAAAGCGATAAAAGTATTTGTTTTTTTATAAAAAATAATTTGTTAATACAAAATGTGCATTTTGGAAATAGATATCAAATAATATTTTAGTTTTGATTCACTATTTTAGCGGTAATGGCTTACACATTAAAAATAGATATATGGTGTCGCGGACTTTTTTGTAGAACTATTTAAGAGATACATTTTCACCATACATTACATTTATGAAACTTTCATTGTTTTTGCAGTACAGGCCAAAATGGCTCGCAGATGGGAGATTTTTTCCGTTATTGTTATATTTTGGCGAATTCACTCAATAACTACATACATTATTATATATATGTTATTATCATATATGAGATATATTACTGTTAAATTTCATTAAAATCCATTGAGTATTTTTTAGTAACAAAGATCCATACAACGTAAGTTTGAAATTAAAAGCGCAAGTGGTTAATATACAACTTTAAAGCGTTGTAGATCCTAAACAATCATGTAAAATGAAAAATGGTGTAAAAAATCTAAACATGTTTTTCGATTATTTAGACAATGATACCCCACTCGACATATTTTGTCAACTTATTTTTGTTACTTCGTCACAATATTGCGCCTAATTTTCCCCATATTGAATTTTGATTACTATCATAGATCAAAATCGGTCCAGGCGTTTGGTCTCTAGTGTGCCACAAAGGAACAAACATACATAATATATAGACTGTTAAACACTATACCCTGTCTGCGCGTCGCGCTTCGTGCTCTTGCATTGCGCAGTCGGGTAAAAACAACAATAATTTTACAAACACATACTTTATCCTACAAAGTAAGAACTCAGCTAAATGGAATATTTTCCTTTACGCCCCTAACACGGTCCCAGTATGCAATATTTTCTGATTTATCGCCGAGAGATATTTATTAGGCCAATAAAATTTGTCCTTAGCTCGCGCCACCGTCGCACCTTCCCCGTAACACCTTTATGTATCACATTAGGGAGTTCAGTTGTAACTTATAGTTGAGTTTAATGCTCAATTTGATTCTTTTTCATGTGTTAGCTGTGGGCCTACACCTTTCTCCTAACTCTTTCCTGCCCCATCTACGAGTAACTTAACTACCTACATTAATAATAATCTTTTATTTTGCCAAACAAGTGTACAATATTTAAACTTTCTAATTACATAGTTTTCAACTTATAAAGTAGGTAATAATTAAAAAAAACATCTTAGGCATAAGAGTTTTCTGACATAGTAACTGAGCCCTAGCTAGATTATAAAATAATCTGTATTAATATGAAGTAAATGCAAATATAAATTAAGTAATCTGCAGTCTGGGTATAGCGAGGTAATGGCAAGGGGACCTGCTAAAGTTGTGTCACGGGCGGATGGATGAAGTACATAATAAGAGAATTGACCATAACCCACCAAGCGAGCCTAATCCGGATTTGTGGATAGACTGCCTTAACTATTGGTAGACCGCTTAAATGAGTCCTCGCCTGCGGGGTAAAAGGGTGTGGGCACGGTAATAATATCTATGTAATATTACCGTGGTGTGGGGGAGGACGAGAACGGGTGCCTTGAGAAGTGCGAGCGGCGGGCGTTTGTAATTTTGATAAGAATGTGCCTGCCACCCGCACCTCTCACAGTACCCGTTCTTGTCCTCCCCTTCACCCTTTACCCCACAGGCGAGGACTCAGTTAAGCGGTCTACCAATAGACATGCCGAAGCACTATGAAACTCGAGATAGGTGTTTTTGGTCGGCCATCCAATGACGAAAACTAATAAAGTTTTACCATAAAAACCTAACATTTGTCGAAAGCAATAGTATCCTAAGTTTAATTCTAGATAAAAAAAACTGGCTTTTGGCCAAATTTACCCAAATCTGTTCAGTGTGTGATATATAGAGTAAGATATAAAATTTATAGCGAGACCCGCCTCACGCAGCGCTACTGTATGAAATAACGCTTAACACAGCGGCGGCTCTTAATCAGCCTATTAATATCCATTTAGCTGTGTCATCTCCCAGGCTATAACTATGGAATAGGGAGATTGGGCCATGACATGAGTCACTATGCGGGCCCAATGCGGACTGGGACTGTGAAGTGAGCAGCCAGGTCCAACCAATAGCTTAACCTGCCTCCCGAAGCACAGAAGAGCGAAATATTAAATTTTGGTCACCCATCCGATGAATGGCTATTGCCAAAGTTACTTAGCTTCCTAGACCCATATTTTCATTTTAACTACCAAAAATTTATTATGGGTTATATTAATATATATAAGCAATTACAATAATATATTATACTCTATTAATATAATTAGTTCTTTGCCGTAGTGACTCTTGTAAGAAAGCATTTTTTTGATGTTGAAAAAAGCGCCATCTAACAGAATATTTAAGAGATTTATGGTAGAAAGTAGAAGAGCCCGAGACATGAAAGCATCTTGAATTAAGACTTCTTCACCTATTCATAGGTGTTGCTGGTATTTTATATAAATAAATAATATGTTCAATGCTTACTTTTGGGAAAAAATATAGAAACAATATATAAATTAATAAAACAATAAATAATGTTGTAGTCTATAATTTATTTCTACTCTAACTATTAACTTAAATAATTAACTATATAACAAATCTAAATTTCATCAATAAGTTTAAATCTATTGTGTTGTGGTTCTGGAATCACATTGAAATATTTCTTGAAGATAGTTTGTTGTTCCCGACCACCATATATAAGTTTAACCCAATTATGATCCCAGTTTGGTTGAAACTTTTCACATGTTATTACAACTCTGCCAGCCTCCATAGCAAATAGTGTACAATTGCGGCCAAATCCAACCTGAAAATTTATGATATTTATGAGATTATAAGAAGAGATATTATGCTGCAAAGAATATATTGAGCATTCAAATATATAATTGGTGCATAGAGAATTGTTTGCCCTTAGCAGTTGTTATCATACAAGTATGTGCGTAATCGCTAATTCATTTTGTATAAATAAAAACATGTTCATATTATCTAACTGTATTGGGGGCTAAATCTTCATATACACTTCAATACTTTAAACTTTAAAAATAATAGACTAGAAGTATTACTATATCTTATCTCAAACTAAAAATAAGATAACAAGCAACCATTAAATATATTGCTTGCAAGAAACTGCTGATTTTTAGTATATATATATATGTATATATATATATATATGTATGATAATTAGTAGTCTTAAGGCCTATATTATAAAAAGATTCTCAGTAATGAATCTAGTCTTGAGCATAACTATGCTAGCGTCATCCCTTTCTAACTAGAAAGGGATAACGCTATGTGCTTATATATAGCAATATTCCTTACTAACTACGGTCAAGTAAAGATCAACAGTTAGTTGTCATTCTGTAAAGGGCCTTAGTGTTAGTAGTACAGCGGGCTGTTTCTGCAATTCAACACCGTGTGCCTATTTAACGTGAGGATGGGATTAGTCCTGCCATCCCAGATCCATGTAATAAATGTATTCAATCAGATATAATATTTCTTTCTGAACTTACGTTTAGGCCAGGATGAAATCTTGGTTTTCTTTGCGTTGCTAACATATGGCCAGCTTGAACAAAGTGACCATCTTGGACTTTCCAACCTCTATGTTTAGGCTTCACTTTACCATTTGTATTCTGTGTACTACCACCGGTCTTTTTACTTGCATTGCGTACGAATTCTAGAGAAAAATATAATTTAAACACGTGATACAAAATAGTAAAATATCTCAACCTCAACTTCTACAAATCGCACCTTTAAAAACTGAATTAATTTTTGAAGAACTTGCACAAAGAGCAAGAGACATGATCGCATTAATTAATTTATTGCCTTTTATTTTAAATGTTGTAATTATTTAATCCTGTCTAAACTGTGCTAATAAAAATAAACAGTTCCTAAAAAATCCTTTGTTTTAATGTTCTTCTTTTTTAGAGAAGGCAAAGGCAACAATGCCAATACAGCCTAATCTTTAGTTTTCTGTTTTTTTACATTAGGATGAGGGTGTGACGCATTCTAATGTTTCTTGGAGTATTTAGCACGAAATGTATCGAGTCAAATTTCTCGATAAGCTTCTGTGAGGTAGTCAACACTACAATAAAATTCTTACTTCCACTTGACTGGAATAGCGTATATTTTAAAGATTACACTAATTCTTTATTTGTGCAGACGGTTGTAACACAAAATCACACTAATTTTAACTCACAATATCTACTATGAACGAATTGAACAATAATTAAAATAAGACGCCAACCGCACTCGATTTAATTGCGCCAAAAATTACAATGATGGCCACAGTTTTGACAGACAAGGAACCCTTATAGATTCGTCATGTCCGTTTGTCTGTCCGAGCCCGGTTTTGCTTAGAGACTGTTAGCACTATATTTTGTGAAAATATGTAAATCAATCATGCCGACAAAATGGTAGAATAAAATATTGAAAAATATTTTTTTAGGGTAGCTCCCCTACATGTAAACTGGAGATATTTTTATTTTTTCATCATCTGTCTCATCGTGTGGGGCATCATTTAAAGTGATTTAGGTGTTTCTAAGACTATTTCTCCACTTAGGAATCCGTTACCACAATATTGAACTTTAAAGCGCTAATTTTTGTTCGTGTAGGGTGCAGTGTAGGGTGTCCCCCCCCTCCCCCCTCTAAAAGCTAAACAATTAGCTTGAAAAACCTGAAAAAATTATGACAATAATGATTTTTATGAACTTTTAAGGAAAATTATAACGGTTAAAATAGATTTCTTAGTTTATGAGTAATTGGTGTCAATTCTGACACAATTCTCTAAACCTAAACTTAAATTTGACAACAATGGTATCGATTCTGGCGTGATTCTCTAAACTTAAAACTAAATTTAACATCAGTCTCTCCTTTTCATTTTGTATAGAGAATGACAAGGATATACTGCTGTCAAATTTAAGTTTAGGTTTAGAGAATCATGCTAGAATCGACACCAGTGTATCCTTGTCATTCTCTATACGGAATGAAAAGGAGAGATTGATGTTTAATTTAGTTTTAAGTTTAGAGAATCACGCCAGAATCGACTCCATTGTCGTTCAACTTAATATATGTATTAGAAAATTTCTAACCTAATAGAAATGCCCTAGAAGAAAACATTAAATGTGACTTAGGCGAAGAAATTGCTTAAAATATAAACTCTTTCCAAAATATATTGTGATGATGACGAGCAACTACGGAATCCTACAATGCGCGTAGTAGGTACGACACACACTTGGCCGGTTTTTTTTAATATATAAAGCTAGGTAGGCAAATGACTCTACCCCACCTGATGTTAAGTGGTGATAAAGTCCAGACACGAAGATAGCTGGTACAGCAGTTACTATAAGCTGCCACACCAACCATCCCCACCATTTTAAACTTTGGTTACGGAACCATTGATGTATTAATCTCTATTACTATTTCATCTTTAATTTAATATAATAATCTCTTTGGTAATGTTTACGTCTGTCACTGACGTCTTTTATGCTTTATGTCAGTGCAGTCTTTTATGCTGAATAAAGCCTAGTTTTCTCAAGGCTTTATCTTTATTTATAACAATTTATTTAGCATAAAATGTGAAAAATAATTAAATAAAAATGTCTACGCAAGAAAATAAAATGTCCCGCTATCTTCGGCCGGATCGTTTCGACTTGGAACCTAATTCGACAGAGGCCGATTTGAAATGGTCGCACTGGCGATTTACTTTCGAAAATTTTCTTACTGCAGAATGCACTACCGAAACCAAGGATTCCATGAAGCTAAACGTCCTGGTAAATCATTTATCTCCGACAGTGTCTCGTACATTCGAGGTGTCAAATCGTATGACATCGCTATGAAAACTTTAGAAGAGATCTATGTCAAACCTAAGAATAAATTCTCTCAAGACATTTACTTACCACCCGCACACAAAAACCTGAAGAAACTGTGAGTGAGTATTTCCAAGCATTAAATCTTTTGTCACATGAATGTAACTATGCCGCAGTGACGGTGGAAGAACACCGAAGTCAATCGTGGCGCATTTATCGCAGGGATCGTCTCACAAAAGATCAAAGAAAGACTTTTAGAAAAGTTCACCTTAAATTTAGATGAAGCTGTCAATTTGGCGATTTCTTTAGAGAGCGCTGTGAAGAATACTCACATAATGTCCAATAAAGCATTATCTCTAAATGCCTCAACTGGGAATGAATTCGACCTTAACGCAACCACAAGTTCAAGAGTTTCGAACCGGCGTTGTTTATCTTGCGGCAGTAAATTTCTACATCAGAGGATTAAATGTCCAGCATTCAAAGTTAATTGTCAATTGTGCTCGAGGAAGGGACATTTTGCAAGTGTATGCAGAAGCAAAGAAACACTGACGATCAATACTATCAATGTTGATAGGATGTTATCTACTGATTCGGAAAATTCATCTGCAATTAGCCTCTTCCCCGAGTAGTTTGAAGAAGGCCACTATCCCTATCACTATAAATGAATATAGGGCTGATGCACTTATTGATACTGGGAGTTCGGTGAGTTTCATAGATAGAAACCTAGCTCAATCACTTAAACTAAAAGTAAAGCCGTGTCAACAAACAATTTCGTTAGCATCACTAAGTCATGTATCTTTTGTTGAAGGACTCTCATGCTACACTCAAAATAGACGAAAATCAATATCAACAACAACCTCTTCTAATTGTCAACAATCTTTGCACGGATGTTATTGTGGGTCATGATATACTTAAAACCCATTCCAAGTTAGAATTAAAATTCGGAGGCAGCCGGCAACCCTTACGGATTTGCAATGTGATGGAAGCCTCTCTACCTCCTGCTACTCTTTTTAGTAATTTATTGTATGATATCAGACCGATAGCAATACGCTCGCGCCGATATAGCAAAGATGATGAAGAATTCATAAAATTAGAGGTAAATAAATTACTTGAAGATGGGATTATTGAACCAAGTACTTCGCCGTGGCGAGCCCAAGTCCTTGTTGCAGGAGGAGGTCATCATAGAAAAAGAATGGTCATTAATTATGCGCAGACCATTAATAGATTTACGGAACTCGATGCTTTCCCGTTGCCTAATATGGAGTTCATAGTAGCTAAAGTAGCGAAATATAATCACTTTAGTCAAATTGACTTAAAAAGTGCATATCATCAAATAAGCATTCTTTCAAGAATACAGCTTTTGAAGAGAACTGTAAACTTTACCAATTTACCCGTATCCCATATTGGTGTAACAAACGGGGTAGCTGCCTTTCAACGAGCTCTTAGCTACGTGATCGAAACTGAAAAATTGAAAGGAACATTTGCGTATTTAGATGACGTCACAGTTTGTGGCAAAACAAAGAAGGATCATGACGAGAATTTGTCTAATTTCATGAAAGCGGCAGCTAAATATAAACTTACTTTATAAGCAAAAATGTAAATTTAATACTAATGTTATTAATCTTCTTGGATACAATGTGCAAAATAATGTCATCAAACCTGATCCCGACCGCCTGAAACCATTGATGCATCTCCCCCTTCCAGAAAATGCCTCGGAGTTAATTAAGAGCACTTGGTCTCTTTGCATTACTCAAGGTGGATACCAAAATTTTCTGACAAAATCAAACCATTATTAGAAATTTGTACGTTCCCTCTTACTGGAGTGTCTATTACTTCTTTCGAAACTCTGAAGAAGGATATTCTCAAAGCGTGTCTAGCGGCAATATATGAAAAAGCAACCTTCACTGTCGAGACTGATGCCTCAGAATAGGCTATTGCTGCAACACTGTCTCAAAATGGTCAACCAGTAGCTTTCTTTTCTCGCTCTTTAACACATTCTGAAAAACGACACGCATCTATAGAAAAAGAAGCTGCTGCAATTGTAGAGTCATTGCGTAAATGGCGCCACTATCTTATTGGACGCTACTTTAATCACGGATCAACAATCCTTTTCATTTATGTTCGATCAACGACACTCTAGTAAAATCAAGAATGAAAAAATTGAACGTTGGCGCCTGGAATTATCCTGTTTTAAATACGATATAATTTATAGAGCAGGAAAAGAAAATAAAGCAGCAGATGCACTGTCTAGAGTCTGCGCGCTAATAAGTAATAATACTGATTCTTTGAAAGCCTTACATGTAAGGCTCTGCCATCCTGGCATAACAAGAATGGTACACTGTGTGCGCTCGAAAAATCTTCCTTATTCAATTAACGATGTTAGAGAAATAACTGAGAACTGTCACATATAAGCTGAAATTAAACCCAGATATGTACGCTGTAAAGGAAATTTAATCATGGCTACAGCTCCTTTCGAACGACTAAATATAGATTTTAAGGGGCCGTTACCTTCAAAAACACCAAATAAATATATATTGACTGTCATGTTATGTATCTATCCAATGCTATTATTTTGTATGGCTGACAAAAATAATGTACCCAAAAGATATTGTTCATTGCTATCAATTATTATATTGTTATCATACGTTTCATTGTTGACTTCTTCCACACAATTGATCTTTCTTGAACGGCAGACAGAGGCAAAATGGTTTCTTCGTCCACAGTTGCGGCAGACAGCTCCCAATGCTGGACATCTGATTTTGTGTACTTGCTGTTTTGTCGACTATCTTGACTGGTGTATCTCCGCTGACTGGAAAAACTCCTAGGCTGGCTCATTGATCTAAAATTGTAAGTATTTGGTCTTGACGTGTTGACCACACTAATATCTTGAGTCTGTGATAATGATTGGGTGTCGAGTTTCGTGTTTCTGATCATTTTTGCTAATGTGACGGCTGCATCAAAAGTTCTGGGTGTTTCTATTAGTATTCTTTCCTTGGTATATGTACAGTTCAAATTCCAAGAAAATATGTCCTTTAATATATCATCACTAATAGTGCCAAACTCGCACTGTAGACTTATGTTTTTCAGATCTGTAGCATAAGACTCAATCTCTTCATGTTGGCCTTGTTTTTTGTTAAATAACTTGTGTCTTTCGATTGAGATGTTTACTTTTGGCGAAAAATACGATTCAAACTTAGCAAGGAAGACATCGTATGGAATAGACTCCATATCCACTTCAAATGAGTTGAAAATATGTAGGGCGTCAGTGCCTATGGCGTTGAGTAAAATGGTCACCTTTCTAGCATCTGCCTCTTCATCTAAATTATTGGCTTTCAAATAGATTTTCAGAGATAGTTTGAAAATTTTCCAAGCTAGTGGCATATTGGAGGCTCTCATGTCTAGCTGAAATGCTGCCGGAGGGAGAAAATTTGGAGAAAGTTTCGATGATGGTGGCTCGTATGTGTGCTTGCCT